TACGTTCAACTTCCGATTTCAAAATTTCAGGTTTGTAACCTGCTTTCTGTTAAATGAAATTTATAATGAAATCTAGATTATCGAAGCAAATGTATATACAGAGAATAAAACAATAATAAACATGCCAAGAGAATGTATACCTTCTGAGAATGGACATTCTAGAGGCCCCATTAGATTGCCTGGAGAATAAGATTCTTGACCTGAAACTGAATTTTGCTGTTGAAGGTCTCCTCTTGAACTCGTTGTGGAACAACTATCTTGATACTGATTTGCATACCTATCCTCGTTTGCTGGAGCAGCTATCTCTATAACCTCATATATCCTTGCACTATCCTTGTCGTATTTAGTCTCTACTAGACCATCTGAAAGATCAATTTCCTCTCCGCTTTCACTTTTTTCAACCATATCATTCTCATATTCAGTCTCAATTTGTTTGACTTTATCTGTATTTACAGAAGCGCCAATTGAATTTGATTCCCATTGAGTATCATTTTCTCTTGTCAAACCAGAATTTGTGGCAACGCCAATAAGCGTGTTTGAAGAGAGAGCATCGCCTGAGACTTCTTTTACTAAGGAACAAAAGGACTCAAGATCAGACAGGGAGGAAATCCTTCTGAAGAATTTTGGAGCATGTCCTTTTGCTGCAACCTTATCTTCCCCTGCAAAACTTAAGCTCTTAGAATGATTCCACTTGACCTCCCTTCCAAAACTACGCTCAAACAACTGAACGTATTTACCCACCGACTCATTTAGAGATCTTGTTCTTCTCACTAAGTGGATTGTGTTTTTGGTGAGATCATAATCAGAAATATCAGTTTCATGTTGATTTCTTGGTTTCTCTACACCATCTTTTCCATGTTCCATAACTTGTGATGCTTCTTTCTTCACTTTCTCATTAGTAGCTAAATCACTTCCAGAAGGCACACTTTGGAGGGAAACCCTGGTTGTGTGCTTATTCTTCTTTCTTTTCTCCTTGAGTACATGCTTTATCCTCTTCTTAATTACTTTGAAATGATTTAAGACCATTTGATTCCACCCTTGATTATCAACTATCGAGGACGAACCAAAAGAGACAAGGCTTGTTTTTTGCTTCATCAGGTTGTCCAAAGTACCCTCAGGTTCTGACTTAACACGATGATCTTTCTGAGACTTAGATGCATCAGATTTTGGCACGTTTCTAGCAGCAAGCAAATTTTCTCCAATCCGGGAAGACCAATTTTCATACTTTTTGTGTTCAAGTGTGGTAGGCCTAAGATATCGAACACCAGATGAATCATTTGCAGGAAACGAACCTGATTTGGTTAGCTTTAGTTTCCTGTTGAGAGTACCCGGGAACTGCTTTGTAATACCAACATCAGGATCTTGTAGGATTTTCATGAAAATATCTTTCTTAACCTTGAATATTTCCTGAATATCTACATACTCTTTAACCTTATCATTAGATAATTTTCCATTAAGCTTCTTATCCATCTGCTTTTGATTGTTCAACGCCTGTTGGACTTTTTCAGGAAAAATTCCAGACTTCTCAGAATGCTCGTCTTGTTCCCAGCAACTCTTAGCATTATTTGGTAGAGACAAACTCTTCAATCTGCTGCCAGAGGCCCTAGCTCTGTTGGGAATGAGAACAACTGGATTCATCCAACCAGAGCATCCTTCACCAAGGTGATAGTCTGAATAATCAAAGGGATGAATTGAGTCAATTTGCTGCAACTGTGGGTGTGCGGAGAAACCTACATTCTGGTGTTCGTATTCCTCTCCCTTATGCTTCTCCTTAGAACTTACTGGTTTTTTGTGGGGTTTTTGCAAGCTTGCTCTTGTTGAACGTTTTTCTGGCTGATAAGTTTAAAATGATATGATCAATTTGGCATATTTACGTATTGAGAACCATAACCAATAACAACATAGCAAATCCAACCAAGTTCTAGATTCTCGAGTAACTTAGCACATAACAAGATTACAAGAACTTACCACACAGTGGTCTGCTTTGGCATCTAAAAATCCATGTGCAGCACCAACTTCAGACTTTGTAGAAATTGTTTTTGGATCTCCATAGCCTAAACAAACATAGAAGGTTATAATCAGTAATCAATTAGCACCAACAGCAACTTCCAGAAGACAAAGGATCCCATAACCATCCCGCTAAACTAAACTTGAGATTTAAAACCAAACCCAGTTTACTTCTCATACCCCTTTACAGATTCACGAGTTCTTTATGGCCTTTGCAAGAGCAATAAAGATATGAAAGTGAAGAGCTGTATATTAAACTGTAATGAAATGTAAAACAAGATTACATACATATGGCACGTCTACCTCTGCGGTGGTTTCTGTGAGAAAGTACTTTTTTCACATCATGCCAATGGTGGTAGTCAAGAACATGAAATATGCCCCACATGCAGCCTGGATGATACCCATAGTCCACCAATTGAGCATCAGAATTCTCACCCTGCAAATGCCTTCCCATAGTCTGAATCAATTGCCAAGTCCGCAATCTTGTTGATCCTAGTTTCCACAAAGAAAATACGACATGTAGAAAACATTAACTCAAACAAAATCATATATCAAATTTTTAGATTGCCAAGAACATGAACTCAAAGCTAAATATAAAAATCACCCAAAACCCATCCCATAATTACCTTTTTTTATAAAACAAAACATCAAATACCATGCATACAACTAAAAGATGGTAACTAAAAATCCAAGCTTCTCTTCTAACAAAATTAATAACAGCAAAAACACGGAGATTTTCTTATTATAAATAATTTAAAAAAAATTATAATTGAATAAAAGGAACTGAAGAAAAAGGTGATAATACACAGTTGAAATGCCAAAAACTGATTCTGTTCTCCTTCTTAATTTCAAGAACTGACACCTCAATCAATATTCAGAAACCGATATGCATTAAAAAGAGAAAATCGAAATAAAACGGTAAATCAAAAACAGAAAAACGATTATCGTGCTAACCTGATTCTTGAAATGAACAAGTAAGGCTGAGATGATTTTGCTTTTCTGGCGGGTGTTGCCGAGAAAGAGAAAAAATCAACAGATATCAATGAAGTTTTAAAAATAAAAAACAGAGAAGACGTCTGAGAAAAGTAGATAGAAGAAGAAGAAGAAGAAGAAGAAGAAGAAGACGAAGGTCGTTATTCCTGTTTTACGGAGAAGACTTTTGACGAAGAAAGCCAGAAGACAACGCCATAAAGGAGCTTCTTCCGGGTAAACTTTACCCGCGAACACAGGTCCTGTGTTTTGAAGTGAATACTGGTCAAATGTCTGCTACAAGCCAAGCCGTAGGCAATGGGCGATGAATTTTCTAGGAACAAATAAATAATTAATATGTTTTTTAAGGAACAAAAAATTAATTTTTTGTATGCAAATTAAATTATAGGTTTGGTTAGCCGTATATAGCAAGTTACATAAGCTTACCATTATGTGTAGCTTACCAAACACACCAATTCTATGATGTACATGTATGTGTTCATGCATACATATACATATATACATACACATATATATATTTATATTCATATTTATATTTATATTGGGTACAAAACGAAATTTCTTTTGATGTTCCATACAATTATTTTAACCCACTATAATGTTTGAAATGAATGCATAAATATTACACAAAAATAGTGTAAATTTAATTATTGTAATAAAAAAAAAAGGGTTAAGCTCATAAATTGGAATTCATTTTTTCAATTTCACATAAGAATCCGTATCTTATTATTTTGGAGAAGATTTTTATTACTAAAGAAGGATTATGTTTAAATTAATTGTTAGTATGTGATATAATTATAAGGTAGAATATGTTAATCCATTATCATTTAAATTTATCCACATTTAAATTTTTTTTTTTTTTTGTGGTATCTTAATATTTATAGTTTAAAATTTAGTTTTTATACGAGATTATTTATTTTTTAAGACTATTTCACCACAAACTAGTAATTCTTTAATTTATAATAATTTAAATTTTTCTAAATTTTGTTATGAACAGAGGGTATTAATATTAAGTTCAGTTTAAATTATTATCTATACCGTACCAATAAGAATACATATAAATAATAATTAAATTTTGAACAAAAATAATACTTTAATTTCAAATTATTTTTATTTTAACTTAAATGGTATGTTTTTGTATCAAATAAAAATTTGTAGTTATAAATTTGAAGACATGATAAATTGATTGAATTATGTATGGAATTATTAAATTTTAAAAATTAAATTAAAATAAAATATGTTTGAATTAAATATAATAATATTAAATTGTAATTGGTTGAACTTTAGGTTAAAATAATAATAATAATAAATGACAAGAGTATTGTAAAAGATGGATGATTAGGGATAAATTGAACATTAATTTTTTTGAGGAACCATGATAGCTAGCAACTTTAATAATGGATTACCTTCTTGTATCATTACAAAAACGCTGTCGTGTTGGACTAAATAAAATAATTAAGAACAAAACAATGATGATTGTCACATCTTAAACAAAATTATTAAATGATGTAATCATAAAAAGCAATAGACAGAATTTTAATGCATTAGCTTACTAGGAAACAACTGTCACTTTATAATTATCATACCCAAATTCTAATTATTTTTAGATTGTGAACAAATTTTTAGGTAAGATTTTTAATCATTTGATTTTAGTACGAGTTATTTTAAACGATTTTATTTTTATAACTCAGTTTTATCTAAGTATCGTTAAAACAACAATCTTTTAAATCTAAATTATTATTCTTTACAATCTTAAATTAATAATTGTATATGACTTCAGCTCTTATGTGAAGTTTATTAAATCGTATATATTTCGATTCGATATTATAATATCATAATATTCATCACTTAAATTTTTGATATTTTGATGAAGATCACATACTATATAATCACAAATCACAATTTAAAAACTCGCAAAGTTTAAGATCGTACATAAATAGAAGTACCGGATGAGCATTTGTATTTATAATGTTTTTTATGTATCAAATTCAAATACTACTAGTTTTATAACTTTTTGAACTTAAATTACTGACCCTTAAAAGATGAAGTTTAAGTTATTCATTTAACACCCAGCTAGCCTAATGTCTTCTTCAGTCCAATCCAAAGGACCTAAGCCCATAGGCTGGCCCCACTCTTCTCACCGGTAACACAACAAAAGGGGGAGTTTTTGTAAGGTCCTAAGTGGACGGTGAGGATTAGAATGGTAAGAGGATGAAGGGCTGAGATTGGATAGGAAGAGAGATATATAAATAGGGATGGCCTGAGAAAAGAAAAAAGAAAGGAAAAAGAAAAAACAGAAAAGTGGGGAAAATATAGAGAGGTCGGTCGATAGGGAAGGAGGGAGAGTGAAGAAATTGAAGAAGAGATCGAGAGTGGAAGTGGAAGAAGTGTGCGTGTGAAGAAGATCTTACCGAGTTAGGAGAAGAATGAGACTGGAGGTAAATAAATTTTGAATTTCAAACTTTGTATAACGATATTGTAACGGCCCCGGAAATATTAAAATGAAATGAGTATTTAAATATATCAAGTGCGGAAACGAGATCAAAATTTCAGTTAACATCCCTTACACGAAAAAAAAACAAAAAACGTACTTAAAATATAAAAGATTAAACTAACTAAGAGAGAAACTCGAAAATAAAACTATGAGTATGACTACAGAGTCTCTAGGCATCCCCTTCGTCGTCCTCCTGCGGAACGGGCTCGGGAACCATGTCTTCCTGATCTGAAATGGTTAAATAAGGAGTGAGCTACACTAGCCCAGTAAGAACATCACGATATCTCACCGTCACGGAGGTAAAGGTGGGTAGAAAAACACAAAAGACCAATGGAGCATAATTTACAACAAACTCGTTTATTAACATGAAAACCTTTACCCTCCACTTACCTCGGTGGAATCTATGAAAACAATATAAGAAAAACAATAACATTATCATAATCATTGAATAATATAAGCTGTAAAACATAACACTTATCACGCCCCTTAAAATTTCAATCATTGTACAACATATTTTTTTCTCATTTACCAGCCTACTAGTATCCGTGGGGGTCCATAGGGGTTCCGCTACCCGTTAACCTTTAACATTCATAATCAGTTTCCAGGGCCGTCCCCATACCCCGTCCGGTATGGGCGCCAAAACCATGAACCTCAATACCCCGTCCGGCATGAGAGACCACAATCCCGGTAGGGTTCCCTACGGACCCGGTCCGTCCACCATCTCCCAGGATATCTAGTCAGGCTAACCCCATCATACAATTATCAGTCTACACAATCTTTCATTTTTCTTTTCCTCAATAAGCATCATCAATTCACATTTAAGAAAGCAAATCGTAATTCATGCCAAACAGACAACATACAATATCAGTTCTTCAGTCTTTCAACCCATGATTAATAAAAACGTAGTATATGCACACAAATCTGTAAAATGAACACATCAAACCTCATAATGCATTTAAAGCTGTAAAACAGGCCAAATAACAGTAAATCATAAATCACATTAGACTCGGGCTCCATTAGCAACCTTAAGCAATTTCACACATGCGTTAATTCAAGAAATACCGTTTTATCATTTTGAACTTTAATACCGTGATAGGAAATAGGGTGAGGGGTCCTTACTTGTTTTCGGGATCCAAATACGATTCACAGTGCGCCTGCAAGCCGTCCCTAATTTTTCCTGAATTTTTTCCGGGGAACTGAAACACACTAACAGTACCTGCACGTGTTCCAAAAAAACCCAAATTAGGCCCAGGGCCTCTTTCGGCCCAAATCGCAACTCCGGCACGGCGGCTCCGCCGTGCTCCGGCGACGGCGCCGCCGCTGGCGGCGGCGAGTCGCCTCGGGTTGGCTGTTTTCGGCCGTTTTCGGCCGAATTCGGCCACACTCGCATTGGTCCTTGTCAGAAAACAACCCTAGGGCCCTCGGGGGGCCAAAAAATCACGGAAAAACGGAGCTTACCGGCGGCGGCGCTCTCGGGTACGGCGGCTCTCCGGCGAGGTTCGTGTTTTGGTGATTCGGCTTCGGTCAACCTGTAGAGAAAAGAATGGTGATCACGGTGATATAAAAATTGCATCGAACGGAGGCCGGGAAGGGCCTCGTCGGAGGCAAAAATCGAGAGGGGGCGCGGCGGCGCCGCTGGGCTTCGGCCGCGTATTCCGGCCGTTTGGCCGGGATTTCGGCCTCGATTTGGCCATAGGAGGAATCAGCGGGGAAAAACGAGTTGGGGGTATGAAATTTACCTCGATCGGCGGTCGGAAATTTCTCCGGTGCGGCGGCGGGTGGCGGCGGTCGGCCTCTGGTTCGTCTTCTCCGGCGAGCGGCGGGCGGCTAGGGTTTGTGGTCTGGTGTGGGGGTTCTATTTATAACCCCTTGCCTTTTGATCTCAGCCGTTCATTTCGTTTTAATCTG